AATTCCCCAGCCAGCCATGCTGGCTAGAGAATTCTGGGAGTTGAAGCCCAGCCGTCTGAAAGCTGCCAAGGTTGAGAAGCACTGCATTAAGGCAAGCCAAAAACTAATTGAACGAGATGGGTTTGCAGAAGATGCTAAAGAAACTCCAAAAATACTTAGTGTAATATAGAAATGCTGTCGAGGAGGACAAAGCAGTTTGCTAACTAGTGATCGGTATTAGGAGAAAACAACCAGATGGTCCATAGTTTTTCTTCATGTGTAGTCTATTTACAAATAACAGTAGAGCGACTTACATCAGGCCAAGAACTCAAGAGCAGATACAGTTCAACAGCGACGTAGTCATAGCAGAGAGAGAAACTTGCTAGGCTCTCTTTTATACCACTTGTAGCCAATCAGTTTGGGTTAGCTGTGCCTAAGCTTTTTATTGCTCACACCTGTGAGTGAGTGAGCCAATGCTGACTCTGGTTTAGCATCAACATTTATTTCCCTGACAAAGGCAGACCCCTGATCTTTCCCTTGACCCAGTTAAACATGTTGTGTGAACACAGGTTAACTGGATTACCAAACTGACGTATTTTCTGAGTGTGCAGAGCAGGTAGAGCCTAAAGCTGACCGAAAGACTCGGTTTGCCCCACACGCTGATGCCCCAACAGCCTAACGCAGCTTAACCCTCACCAGGCCAATCAGGTTGTATGAATGCAGCTGCTAGATATGTCCTGCCCCAGGTAAGCACCTCATTCTTCCTTCCTCCATTACAGATCCGTATATGGACATTTTCGATCCTGGACGATCTTCCTAGTTCAGGAAAGGCTCTGGGTTTTGGACACGACTATCCCTTGGCTCGTGAAAAGGAGCGCTCAGGCTTCTTTCCCTTCCTGATGGGTGAATTGTGAGGGGTCATGGGGCGAGGGTCATTTCCGAACGCTTGCTGGGGTCCATCCCTCTGAAAGCTGCCAGGGTTGAGAAACCCTGCATTAGGGCAAGCCAAAAACTAATTGAATGAGGTGGGTTTACAGGAGCTACTGAATTAACCTATTTTCCAGGTCAGCGGGGTATAAACTCACCCCAAGGGCTTGCCTTCAACACTGAGCCTTGGATGGCCCTTCAGGGTTGGCACTGCCAAGCTTGCTGGTGGCGTGGATGGTGCCTCTGCGGGAGCTTTCCTTGGCCTGCTTGGGCGAGTGCCGCCCACACCTTTGCTAGGGGGGCCTGCCCTCCTCCCTCTGGCGGCCCCCCTCCAAAGTCCCGGATGATTAAGGAGGGCTTTAATGCAGGCGCATGACTGGGTGCCCCTCCGGGTTGCTCGGCACCCCGCCACGGCCCCCCTCCTCTTCCTCCCAGGCGATGGACCGTGGGATCATTGGCCGAAGCCCCAGGCGGTCAGCAGGAAAATGCAGGGAGGCTTTGCCCTACAGACGGGGTGGGGGCAGCCAGCCGGCTCTCCGTTGCAGAGGACATGAAGCGTCTCCTCCAGTACGTGGGCTGCTCCTGCGCCTTCTTCTCGGCGGGCTTCCTCATTGCGGCCACCTGGACCGACTGCTGGATGGTGAACACAGATGACTCCCTGGAGGTAAAGCCCCAGCAGCATCTCGGGGGGGAGGGGGCCTTGCACATTGAGTCAGAAACCACCTGGAAGCCCACCGATGGCTGGATTCCCATCGGTGAATTTTCTTTCTGGCAGCGAGCCGGCTAGTGCTCGGAGAGCAGGAATCTGCCAGGCGCTGCTTCCCAAGGCAAGGAAGAGCAGTAACAAGGGAAATGCCACCGGTGGAATTTCAGCCTGCCGTGCAGGTGTCCAAGTCGCAGGAACCACCCCAGAAAACAAAACGCCATGCCACGTTTAGAAGGCTGTTTGTTCAGATCAGAGACTTTTTGGCTTGCGTTATTCCACAAAGTTCACACTCAGTAATGCTTGCGTAGATAGGATTGCCTCTCAATTATTAAAAGGGGATCCCTGATTTATCTGGATCCCCTTTTATTTTTTATTTTTTAATGTGCAATAAAAATGGCAGACGGCAGACGGCGTCTCAAAGCAGGTCTGCCTGTTTGGCCTCCCCCCCTCCCCCGCAAAAACCAAAGAAAAGCACCGATGGAGCTCAAGATTTTCCCCTAAAAGCAAAGAAATTGGACTTCCGTTACCTAGGACAGGATGGATTGGTGCATTTATGCAGGATGCGCTGATTAAAACATCTGAAATGAATCCATTGGCCAGGGATGGAGCTTCATCTAAAGCAGTGTTTCCCAACCTTGGCAACTTCCAGGTGTGTAGACTTCAACTCCCAGAATTCTCATCGATGGCTATGCTGGCTGTGGAATTCTGGGATTTGAAGTTTACACAAATTGCCAAGGTCGGGAAACATTGATGTATGGTGACTCTGTAGCTTGTTTGAGGTGCCTGTGATGCAAAGGGCCTAGTGGTTGAAGGGTCATCGAGCCACTGGAACAGCAGTTGGATGTCCGCAGGGTGTGGTCAAAGATTCAAGTGGCGACGCAGATAAAAAATAGGCAGAGCTTCAATTGCTCCATCTTGACTTTTTTGACTGAATCCTGCAGACACCCCTGGCCCAGGAGCGTAAACCTGGCAACCACTAACTACCCTTCCCCAACCTGCTGCCCTCCAAAAGTGTGGGGTATCCCCTCCCAGAATTTCTAGCTGATCTAGTACCTGCAAAGATACTCAGCTGGGAAAACCTATGCTTAACTACACAAAACTTGCGTAACTTGTTTTTATTGGATTGTTGTTTTTACCTGTTGTGAGCTGCCCAGGGTCATTGCGATGGGTGGCCATACAAATCAAATCAAATCAAATCAAGTCAAATCAGTCCATAAAAGCAAAGGAGAACATCTCTCCCATCACTGATGCTCTGCTCAAGCACATTGATGACGATATGGCTGCGTTCACACAACTCGCTTCACTTGGCTCCTGAATTAATCCATGCTCTGGGTTTGCGCAGCCCAATGGCTGGGTTTGTCTAAGACTCACTCTACCCAAGTTTAGCCTGTCGTGTGAATAATTCATCCTGGTTTTTCCTTGACCTGGTTAAGCATGTTGGGTGAACCCAGTTCCAGAATGGTTTAGGATGATCCTGGCTGGGTTTGTATGTGTACTAGTCTAGACTGAAAGGAGGTTGGTAGGTATGGTTTAAAATCAGAAGGAACCCTTTTCCGACTCATCAGCGTTATTCCAATTTTATTCCTATTCTCACGGAAGGTTCTGCCTTGGAATAAAATTGACAAGTCGGAAAAGGGCTACTGAGATTTTGGGCCACCACGGACTGTCATGGTTCTCCTCCCATAATGTCTAGATATGGTTTAGTGCGTTGTGGGAACTGCCACGGTCTTAGGATGTGGTGCAAAGCGGCGCGTGAGATGGACCCGTGGCAGGCGTTGTGAGCACGGCCCCTGGGCTCGGGGGTAAGCCAGGTGGTGCGGACAGGAGGCCTCGCCCGGGAGAACAAGGAAAGTGCCAAGAGAACACCAGGCCCGCTTGGGAAGGGGTGGGCTGGCGGTCTTCGGAGCGGGCAGAGGTTTTTTTAACCTTGCCCTGCTGGTGGAAAGGCACGGGCGATGCCCGCCGCCCTTACAGCTTCATTAGCATGCCCTTGAGGCTGGCTGCCTCTGCGTTTCACACTTCCCTGCTCAAGGGTGAACGCTAAATGGCCACCGCCGAGGGCCGCGGGTGTTAATCCCTGACAGATTGAGTCACTTTTCTCACTTCACCAGCCCATTGCCTCTCCAAAGGTGGCGGGGGCATCACGAACCCGGGTCCCTTGAAAGAGCGGCTTGGCAAGGCACCCTTTTGCCGTGGCTGGAGGGGGGCAGAGAAGAGGAGGGGCAGCTCCCCCTCTATTACCCCCTCCTTCTTATTCACTTTAATGTGAGCCCCACCTCTAGCTGGTCAACAAAAATTTAATAAGACATCGAATCCCCACAGTTAACATGAATGCTGTCATGATTAACAATTCGGCATCGAGGCCAGGGGAAAGAGGTACCTTTTCACGGAGCCGGAGCAGTGCTGGAGAAAGCCCTCTGCTGCCCACCAGAAAGATGCCCGCTGAGGGCTGGGGCACCTTCTGGGACGTTTCTCCGGATCCGGACCACCGGACAGTTCCCGAGGGCAGCAGGGATGGACAACCTCCTTGCCCAGTTTCAGCTCTTGGGGGGACCTCAGCCCGTCCTTCTGGGAATAGCCACGGGGGGGGGGGGGCAGGGGTAGCCCCCAGTGCCTTTCCCCAGGCAAAATAAACCTCTTTCTCAGATAGGGGGCACTGCCCCCTAGCAAACCACTCTGGCCTTTCACAAGCAACATTTTACTTACTTAAATCACCTGGTCATTTGCATCCGATCGCCTTTGCTAGGATCTGAGTCACACGTTTTCCATCCGGGGTTCCCACCCACGCCCCCTTTGTCGTTGTAACTCTCCACACCTCGGTCGTTCTCTCCTCTCCTTCGTTGACAGGGTTCACATAACACAATGCACCACGTCGGGTAAAGACGAGCAGATTTTCCCACAACATGCTAAGCTTGATCAAAACTGGGGTGGGGAGCGGGTTGGCTTAGCATGTTGTGTAAACTCAGCCATGATGGTCAGCGTCTGCTTCAGTGTATTGCGTGACAGGGGAAAGCGGGTTAGATCAATAGCCAGGTTCAGTAGTTGTGTGAATGCAACCCTTGTTTCCCAAGCTGTGGAATTAAAATGCCTACCCTGCCTGGAGCGGGGCCTTGTAACCACCACAGGAATAACCATGGGTTCATCTCCTCTAGCTGAGCGCCACGTGCCGTGGCCTGTGGTGGGAATGTGTCACCAATGCCTTCGATGGGATAACGACCTGCGATGAATATGATTCGATATTCGCCGAGCACCCAGGTAGGCAGACATCTCGTCCTACCCCAAGACTTGGGCTTCCTCCACCAAAGAGGGAAGCATGTGCAGTGGGTCAGAAAGAAGCAGATCTGTGGAAAGACGGGGCTGGTCCTGCCCTAGAAAGCCCTGCGTGGGCCCCCAAGGGCCAGGTCCTTGGGGGAGCGCGGGTCTCCAGTGACTTCTGCCCTTCCCGTGAGATCTGACGGGTAGGCATGCTCGGGGTTCCCTCCGTTAAGCCTTCTCCGTGGCGGCACCTGCCCCGCAGAAGAGCCCACCCCTCCGAGACGGAGATGCCCCCAACCCTGGTGGCTTTTTAGGGGGACTACAGGGTGGGCGTTCTCCCCAGCAGTCTGTTTGGGGGTCGTTTAGGTGGGCGTGTGAGCTGCCCCCGATGCAAGGCGTTTGGGGGCCTGGTTGGGGGTTTTATTGCTGTTTTTAACTTCTTACGCGCCACCCAGAGTCGCAGATTGAGTGGGTGGCTACATAAATCCAGTAAACAAACCAACCAACAAATGTTGGCAGCCAGGACGGAGCAAACAAAGCCAACATACTGGCTCTGCTTTAAATGCAAAAAGCAAATTTGTGAAGCCCCCGCAGAGTTTAATTATTTGGGCACAGCCCAGCACAGCCACCGTGTTCTGCTAACCTGGGCTGTGGGATTAATGTATTGTGTGAATCCCGCCTTCCTCTTTTGTCTTGTTAAAAAATCCCGTCTGATGCTAGATGATCTCTGGGGGATCCAAAGTGCCTAGAGCCCCATGCAGTCATGGGGTTCTGCTTGAGCACCCCCTGATCTAGAAGGTCCATCCTCTGAAGAGGCTCCAGCAGCTTCCTTCAAGAGAGAAAAGGCACAGGGTGGCTCTGGGAAGCCCCCCTTCACCCAAAGATCTCCTTCTAAGCTGGAGAGCATCGGGTTCAGGGCTTTCCCCAGAGCGGGGGGCGCCTTCCGTCTTCCTTCCTCCAACCCACCCCTTGCTTCTGTTGCAGTGAAGCTGGTCCTGACCCGGGTTCTGCTGATCATCGCTGACCTCCTGGCTGGGTTTGGATTTGTGTTCCTCCTCCTGGGCCTTGACTGTGTGAAGTTCCTCCTGGATGAACCAGGCATCAAAAACCGCATCTGCTTTGTCTCTGGGTTGGCGCTCTTAACAGGAGGTAGTTTTCCCCACAGGGTCTGGTCTAGCCTGGGCTGGGCTGGGCTGGGGGGTGGTAGATGTGGGGGCTTACGTGGGGCCCCAGAGCTCTTTCTCCCATTCATGGCATTGTGCAATGGACCTTTGAGAAGGTGCATCTCTCCTGAGATGCTCATGAGATGGGGAGATCAGCCCCTTTTGGCTGCAGGATGCGGAAGTCACCACTTTCTCTTACCTTTGGACCCAAGAGAAGATGCAGAGCACAGGCTTCAAGGTGTCTTCTGCTGAGCTTCTTTGGAGTAAGAGGTCCTACCATTCAATGGTTTCTAAGTTTTTCTTTCAGGGGTGTCTGCTGGGTATGGTCCAAGAAGTCACGATGTTGGCCCCGACAGTGCGATCGAAACAGGTAAAGTTTGGATGACACCATCCTGGCCGCCAACTTGACTTCTTGGACCATACCTCGCAGACCCCCTGCTTTCCTTCCTAGTTTGGAGAGGAGGGGTTAAAAGAGGTCCACGGTAAAATTGGGAGAGGAGAAAGCAGTTCCAGTTTTAACCTGTGACCAGAGACTCCTAACTTTTCACAAAGGTTACTGAGAAAGGAAGAACAGAACTTAACAAATTGACCCAAGATGACAAGCAAAATAATTATAATAATAGTAATAATAATAATAACCACCCAGAGTCATGTATTTGAGATGGGCAGCCGGAAGGAAGGAAGGAAGGAAGGAAGGAAGGAAGGAAGGAAGGAAGGAAGGAAGGAA